TTGTTAACTGCTGACCTTACATCAGACAGTACAGGTTTCTTAACTGCTTACCTTACATTACACAGTGCAGGTTTGTTAACTGCTTACCTTACATTAGACAGTACAGGTTTGTTAACTGCTTGCCTTATATTGGACAGTAGAGGTTTTTTAATTGCTTACATTACATTAGACAGTACAGCTTTGTTAACTGCTTACCTTACATTAGACAGTACAAATTTGTTAACTGCTTACTTTAAATTATACAGTACAGGTTTGTTATGTGCTTAGATTACATTAGACAATACAAGTTTATTAACTGCTTACATTACATTATACAGTACAGGTTTGTTAACTGCTTATATTTTATTAGACAGTTCAGGTTAGTTAACTGCTTACCTTACATTAGACACTGCAGGTTCGTTAACTGCTTACCTTACATTAGATAATACAGGTTTGTTAACTGCTTACCTTACATTATACAGTACAGGTTTGTTAACTGCTTACATTACATTAGACAGTACAGGTTTGTTGCTTGCTTACTTTACATTATAGAGTATGGTTATATTTAACTAGTTACTTTACATAACATAGTATGATTTTATTTACCTACTTACTTTACATTATAGAGTATGGTTATATTTAACTAGTTACTTTACATTATAGAGTATGGTTTTATTTACCTACTTACTTCATTATACTGCATTATTTTGTTTTACTGCTTACTCTATTTTACGAGTAAACCTAAGGAAGACAGAAAAAGAACCTCTGAGTGGCTGAATCTTTACCTTCCATCACACCATTTGAATTGGGCTATTACAACCATTCTCTAGAACTATTCATTAGAATCAAATAATTAATGTTCAAAATAATATCAAGCATTAATTTATTTTTAATTAAAGGATTTAAAAGCTATGTTACTCAGTGGGAAAATTATTTCATTCTGTCCTGTGTTGATTCACGGAAAATGTTGATCCTCTTAGAAAACCTTTACTGTGCTATTTCTGGAGAAACACTAATTATCTGTGTAAATTTGCACTGTTTTGCTTCACGAGAAATGTTGATTCTCAGTGTGAGCCTATGCTGTGAGGAATGCCAAACTCTCTGTGTAAATCTATGCTGTGTTACTTCAAGTGGAATGTCGATCTTCAATACCAACTTGTGCAGTGTTTCTTCATCTGGAGAAAAAGTTGAATACTATGTTACTAAATATAAATTGAATAATTCCTTAAACTAAATAGGCTTTCTGCAGTTTTATGTTTTTATCTTGAAATTATGTCTTATTCTAATACTTTGACATTCCTGGAGTTTTCTATGAGGCACAGTTTTAAAATAGAAAGCTAGCAGTAGTGAGAATGAAACCAAACATATTACCAGAATGATTATACAATTTCGATAAGTTGTGGCGTTTAAGAAAACGTACCTCTCTGTTGGATAGGAAATTTTAGATAAAAAATGTATATATCTATCATATGTCATCTATCATATGTCAACATATAAACTACAAGAATTTATAGTCGAGTCTGTACTTTCCATAAATATAATAAACTAAGGGCAAACATTCTTAGTATTTTTTCTTTAAGTTCTATGAATTGATGTTTTTAACCAATAATTAATTCCACTGGATTTTAAAACGTAGATAAAGGATCGTCTAACATTTGACTAAAATTATCTAAAACGTTCGAGAAGTCTTAATAAATATTACGCCAATATGATCATTAGGATAAGTATCACTAAAGGACGCTTGGTATCTTAAATTGCTTTCTCTCGTTTCATTTTATGTTATTTCGTATATTATTATATCTCATTTATCTTGTCGAAGATCTTGGGTCAAATTTCCGTGCCATTTGGTGAAAGTTTTGAGTATCAGTGTCCTAGTGTTAAATAATCATGCAGAACTTATTTTACTAAATTACAAAAAGTAATTAAAATTCTTAGACGCCATTATCAGCTACCACTTACAGTCTGTATCAACAAGAACTGTGGCTGTGAAAGACTAATGTCACTGATGTTAATGCATATCTTTTAATTTCTTTTATTTCAAGATACTCAGGACTACCCTACATAATTAGTTTTTGATTGATTAAAATAAATGTGATCTTGGTATTTTTTAGAATGGGCGTATTTTGTAGGGCAGCTTCGTCAAAATATGCTGTGTCAGCAACAACTAAGCATGTTTTTTTTTATAAACACTGAACTATCAGCAAACACCATTAACAAAGCATGTTTTTTATCAACACTGAAATTTAGAAGTAAGTTATCAAATTTAGGAAGCCACGTTAAACAATTGCAGTACATTCTTCACTCGTCATCTGTTATTTGTACAGTAAGAATTTAGAGACTAAATTGTACAACAGTCGTTATGTGAAATAATGTTGTGTCGGTATACAAAGATGTTATCGATTTGTAAAACTTCTAATTTTCGACGCCTGTAGTAACAAATAATAAGTGGAAAAACATACATATCAGCTCTATGAACAAACAAAAAATCATATTCACGAGGTTTAACAAACTTTATTAAAATTATTATTTCCAGAAATAGAATAATGTAGCCAGTAATTATGAGAATACCTAAAGAGATGCATACCAAAAGATAGAAAACACGCGCATAAAAGTTAAGGTATTTCTTCGAGTACTATGTAGTCTTGTGTATTGTTTTGCTATGTCTTGCTGGGCGGAGCTTATTTTGTGACATATTCTAGCCATTTTGTGTTTGCATAGGTATTAAACAGAATATTAATTGATTATTTACATGAACACATACTGATGAAACTTTCAAAACATGCCACAGTGCAAAGATAAACATTATGCAGTAAGAGGCGGGAAACAAAAATATACTTTTCCCATTCAGATCCAAAATAGAGCTAAAACTTTTGTGCAGTTTGGATACGTAATTTTGATAGAGGCATTGTCGTTGGAATAACAATACTCATATAGTGGCCTTGTCGTTGGAATAACAATACTCATATGGTGGCTGTGTCGTTGGAATAACAATACTCATTTAGGTGGCCTTGTCGTTGGAATAACAATACTCATATGGTGGCTGTGTCGTTGTAATAACAATACTCATTTAGTGGCCTTGTCGTTGGAATGGAAATGGTTATAGTGGCTGTGTCGTTGGAATAATAATACTAATATAGTGGCCGTGTCGTTGGAATGGAAATGGTTATAGTGGCCGTGTCATTGAAATGATAATACTCATATAGTGACCGTTTCTTTGTAATAACAATACTCATATACTGCTCGTGTCGTTTGAATAAGACTGCTTATACAATGGCCGTGTTATCAGAACTAAAAACTCTTTTATAGTAGTAATGTCAACAAAACTATAATACTTTTATAATGGCCGTATCGTTAGAACGAAAATACTTATAGTGGCCATATTGTGAGAGTTAGAATACATATTGTAGTGGTCGTACCGTCAAAATGCGAATACTCACATAGTGCAAACTGTGTCGTCAAAACAAAATTATTTGTATAGTATCTGTATCGTCGGTATGAGATTACTTAGTCGTAAAATAGCACGATTACTTTTCTAATTGATCTCGATCTCTGCTCTGCTTTAATCACTGTAACATAAATACGAGTTTGGTTATTAATATTATAATATTTTCTTTCGTTTGGAATAAAGTTTAGAGTAGTTAAAACATTAGCATCGGCATTAAAAGCCGTATTGTACCAAGGCCTAAAGTAGAGAACCGAGCAGTAACATAGCTGCTAGATAAACGAAAGTGGAGTATTATTGGAGTTTATGTGTTGTGATGTTTACTGATTTACCCAACTGAAGCCAATTTTCATTCTGGTTTGATAACGTTAAACGATACAAAAGTGCTTCAAGCGTTCAGTTTCTATTCGAGTTTTTCAACGAAGTATGAAACACATATCTCACACTTTAAACAATTTAAAGAGATAACTGCAGGTTTCATTTTTTTTAAACATGGTATGTGTGCTAGCCTAGCTTTTCGATATGAAAAATTGATTTTTTTTAATTCAAAGTTCTGTGAAAATTTATTGTATTTACAGACAGACTAAGCCGATAACACTACACATCAATAGACTTAGCTTTATAGAAGACGATTGAATAATATACTATACATTTATATATATACTCATCGTGGGTAGGAATTAAAACTTTGCTTCAGCATGGATCTTTCTAGTTGTGACAAAATCAGCCATTTTATGAGACTTCACGTGGAGTGAATTATATTCATTATTTTCATATAAAGATAAAGCCACGTGTAACAAAGGCATCAATGGACTTAAATGATTCGATTATAGCAGCTCGTTTAATCCACCTCAACCTATTAAACAAACTGACATCAGAAGCTACGGTACAAGGAGCAATGTTCAATCCTTGTGAGTTTAAGAGTTGAGATTTTCTACGACAATTCAACAGTTGAATACCTTTTGATGATGGAGGCCAATTTAGACTTTTTTGAGATTCCACATATGAACGTGTTTGTTCGGTTACCTTAAAAAGCACTCGTAATTTAACACTTTTCGGAATACTGAAAAATTGAAAAACGCCAGGTAAAAAGTAGGCAAACAAGTTTTCTATAAGTCTCCTAGGAGAAAGAGACCAAAGTAAAATACTGTTTCTTAAGGTATTTTCTCAAGTATAAACTACGCTGTCAAGTAGACAGATCAAGCGTGTAGCCAGACTTGCGTAGACTGTTGAGCGCAAGGATCAGATAAAGCTTATTCAGCAAGGCCGAAATAAACATTTCTCTTTGTTCAGATAAGGTTGAATCTGTTTAGAAGTAAGCATAATCAGACTTTCAAAGCTTCCATCGGAATCATCCCCTATTTAAGTTTAGTATTAACTTTATAGTTTAAGAACATTTACTTTTAACACTTATTCTGTAGCATTTTTAACTGTAGCAATGTTATAAATTGCCAGAGACTTATGTCACGAAAAAGGAGGAGACTATATACAATTTTATCTTAACATCATTAATATAAGCCACAGATAAGATATTGGTATGACTTTTTATGTTTTACGTCTCGAGATAACTGCATTAGAACTTCTTGTAAGATCAGAAACATAATTATCCGAAGGGACTGCGTACGTTGTTTATTTGTAGCATTTTAGTTATAGTTATTAGCCCTTGTTACCCTAACCCCAAGTCTGCAACTAGAAATGAGACTAAACTAGTCTAAGTTATAAGATGACCTAATATAACATTTTAGCTATATTTTTTCAAACGTGAATTCCAGATATTGTTTGTTTGTTTTGTTTAAGCGCAAAGCGCCAAAATGAGCTATCTGCAGTGTGCATATCGTAGGGACTGCACTCTGAATTTTGGCTTTTAAACTCTCAAGCCTACTACTGAACCAGGAAAAATTTCATATATTTAATTATTTTAGGTAACTACTTAAAAATTAAAACTGATAGAGTTATTAACTATAAGCCTAATCGAACACCTAGGTTTTGATTATTTTGACAAGCAATACAGAACGTACAATGTGCTTCAGCAAATAATATATATAAAATTAAGTGACAGATAACATTAAAATATTGTTCATTTTTTCAAATACCCTTGCAACTTATCTACTCTTTTAGGATTGGACTTTGTGTCTTTGGATTTTTACGTTATGTCAAAGTTCAAAGAATTACATTGTGATCCCACATCTCTTGGCTTAACTATAAACTGAAAATATTAATACGCTTATTGGAAACAGTTTTTAAGTTGTCAAAACTGTTAAACATACAGCTGTAAACATGTATCTTTAGTTTAACTTTTCCTAACATGGTCAGTTTTTGTTAATGATAATAACTAACGTAAAGTAGAAAGAGCAAGTCCAAATATTTCAGTGCAAGATCCTCAAACTTTCGATTATCTGTAACTGTCTATAACAGTTCAGCAAATTTCCTATAAATACATAGTTTAACTTGAAAGGAGTAATACAGGATTTACGTTCACAAAACATTTTTTTTACGTTTTCCTGACAGTTGAAATGAGCTACATCTCTATATCACTTCTTAAGTGTTCAAAACGTTACAACAATAATAAAAACATTTCTGATTCTTCACGGTAAAAGAGTATTTGAGATTTTCAGCTAGGTGTCTCTCTCGTCGTTTTCCTATTAAGATTTTCAGCTAGGTGTCTCTCTCGTCGTTTTCCTATTGCAGTAATATAAAGTTTAAAATAAAACATGAGAGCTATATTTTCGAACTATGCTGACTTTCATCAATCCCTTTCTACATCAGCAATAGAGAATTCTACCAGTGTATCTCTAATACTGCACTCGCTACTCAACTGTGCTTTACTTGAACCCTAATATTGCTGGATTATCAATAAAACATTTGAAGTTCAAAAGTAGTTCGCACTATATCTGGAAATTAAAAACGTCTTTTACACGCCCGTTATTAACAGATATTATATATATCTATTGCTCGTGCACTTTGAAATTGCGCGCATCTGATGTTTGTCATATTTACATACTACACATAGACCCTATGCACACGACTCTTAGAAATTGCACATATTAATTGCAAGGGATTTTTGAGTAAAGGCTTAAACTTTTGAAAATCAATACATACCCACTCAAATCGGAAGATATATATATATATATATGCATGTGTGTGTGAGGAAGCTCTACAATGATTACTAGAGATTTGAAATAAATGTTTGATAAAAAAGTATTATTTGTCGTATCCACAATGATATGTCTTTTTCAATAAAAAAAACTTTATCTAACTTTTTAAACAACTGTTATAAGTACAAAATATGTGAACGTCGGTCAGACGTTGAATAAATATAATGTTTTTTTTAAGTTTTTCATTTGAAGAAGTAATTAAACTTAAGCAGTTGTCTATATCTGCAGTCCAAAACTTTTCTATAATGAGAGATTTTGTTAAAGCTCAAACATTTCATGCACATACCCGAGTCAGATTGGTTACTGTTATTAGGTTGATGACAGAAGAAAGACAATTTGTTATGCATCATAGAATATCCAAAGGACAGTCTGTTTTTATCTATATATTATGTATTTTTGTGTATATAAGTTTTCTAATAAAACTTTCCTGCTTACAGAGGACTAATGAAACCTATCAGTTCTTGTCTGGCGTTCCCATCACACCTAAAACCAAGTTTCTTGATATAAATCATCCGGTAGGTGTTATTCCTGTTTTGTTATTTGTTTGCTTTATTTGTGTTATCACAGTATGATCATTGTTATGTGAAACGAAGATGCTTTTGGTGTTTCTTTTCGCTTTTGATAAACTGCAGAGATTCGCAGAATTCTCTATATTACTGCCACCAATTACCTTAATTTCGTCTATTCGATATTACTGCATCTAAAGTACTTTGGTAAGCTCTTCACTGTCTTATGATGAAAGAAAGACTGTTTAAAGGGAATATTGTTTAGAACATCCTTTTCACCACAGGAGACCTAATGTAGGTTTCTCACAGTGGATAAAGGATATTTCACATGCCAAACACATTATTATGTTGCGTATTACAATTTCGAATGGTCTGAAACCGAGCTAAATGATACTTTAAATTCAGTAGTTAAATAAATGCTGATATGTATCCAGTTTATGATATTTGCGAACAAGATTGATACACACAGTTTCTTTTTAAATACAAATAGGTTTTAATATATAAACAACAATACAATTTACAATAACAGTTATTACAAATAGTTATTATAAACAATGATTTATATACAAAAGTTTT